CCCTGTTACGTGCCAGCAGAAATTGTCGTTCATTGCCATAGGCTGCCTCTTCAGTGCACAGTTGGGATGATGACCCAAATACTGATGCCACTGAAGAGGCCTGTTGCTTTCTACTGTGTTATCTCTGTACCATAAAACTACCTTAGTGGGTAAATCACAGCCTGGTCAGCAAATGGAGAGAATGGCAAACTTACCCCTTTGGAACTGCATCTGCCACTTTATCAGTCTCTTACCTGTATAAGGTTCTCTTCCTTAGTGCCCCCCTGCCCCCTGGAAAAGCTTTGCACATCCCAAGTTTGTAAAGGGTGTCCACCAGGATCTGGGGGAATGTTTGTTCACCAGAGCACCCCAAGGGACGACAAGGTCTAACGGTTATAAACTCTTGCAAGACCATTTCAGGCTGGACATAAGGAAGAATTTCTTTACTGTCCGAGCCCCAAGGGTCTGGAATAGCCTGCTATTGGAGGTGGTTCAAGCACCTACTTTGAACGCCTTCAAGAGAAAATTGGATGTTTATCTTGCTGGGATCCTATGACCCCAGCTGACTTCCTGCCCCTGGGGCAGGGGGCTGGACTCGATGATCTTCTGAGGTCCCTTCCAGCCCTAATGTCTATGAAATCTATGGAGTAAATTATCTCTGCAGAGAAAGACCCATAAGAGATGACTCCTGCCTCTGGTTACAGGCAGTTCTTTCTGTGTTCTTTCTACGTGTGTTTGTATGTCCATGCAAACATGAGCTCCCATACAAATTGGAGACAGGGCCCTCACTGTCTTAGAGGAATGTTAGGATGGCAAAGTCAAGGCCTGAAAAGTTAGAAATACCAAACTTGAAGGTTAACTAGGTACCTTTCATTCAGCTCCTCATGCCAGATGATGATCCTGTCTCACAACCCTGGGTAGCTCCCTCAGCTTCAGGCTCCCAGGCTACTGTGTTCAGGACCCACCCACTGGGCCTCTGGTACATGCAGTGCCCTGTTTCCACCTGCTTGGGCTTGGGTTACAATCCTCCAAGGCAGGTTGGATCCTTCCTCTTGAATGTGACTTCTCCTTTGAATGAAGGAGAATCTCTTACCGGTGCGCAGCTGCTTCCCTTCCTCGCTGGTACAGCACTCAACAGTGACACCTCTACCCTGACCCCTGTACAAAATCAAGCCCCACTATGACCTAGTGATGACAATTGATTCTTTCCTTCTTCTGATTGGGATTTTCCACTCCCCAAACCCTGCCTGCTTTCTGACAGCCTTGATGCCAGACAGGTTTCCCTAGTGTGTGGTCATCCTGTTGCCCTGAGCTGGCCTGTTGTTCCCAGGGTGTAGGATGCAGCCCTCGGGGCAGGGGGAAGAGTCTATGTATGTTGAGTTACTCAATGATCCAGGAATTTCATCACCTCTGCCATCATCCTTTTAGAGACAGATTTCCCCAACCCTCACTGATACAGCCCTTGACTGGGTGATCACCTATTATTTATTGTTCTCTCCTCATTCAGTACGCATAGTCAAGCTGAGACAGAGCAAAGGTATAGGGACCTGTGGCTCAGTAGCGTGATTGCCCTGCTCCAAGCCACCTTTGGGGTGGTGTGGAGGTTTCAAAGAGTGCTCTCCCACCAGCTAGACCTAGAAAAGGGTTGGTGGTACTAATATAAGTTTAAAATATAAAAAAGAAGAGGCATGAGCAGCAGGAGCTAAGGGAAGCAGTGAGGGTCGGGGTAGAGGAGGGTTGGGTGAAGCAGCTGGTGTGCCTTGGCTCTACTATTTATAAAAAGCTGAGCTATGTCCCTGCTATCCCTTTTCCCATCCAGGGGGGAGTGTGATTGGGTGGGGTCAACCCAGCAGGGTGCTGTGCTCTGATGAGATTCAGAGTGAGATGGGGGTGCTGATACAAACACACAGATTCAATCTGTAGCTGTAAGTACTACTGTTCAAGGAAAAGTGGTACCAGCACTTCTGGGTCAGGGTAATGTGGCTGCTTCAAGCCTGGTTGTCTTGCTGCCATGGCATGTGAACCCAGGTACTGAGCAGATGCAGCCCAGCGCCCAAGGCTTTGTTTTGTTAGTGATATGCAACTCTGTCACCATCTCTCCGTCTCTGTTGCAGTCTTGCCCACATAAGGTCAATGCCTGGTCCTTGCTGGAGTGTCAGTATCAATGCTAAATTGAGACACACAAATAGCATTAAGTAGAGAATAGCTGGAACATTTTTGGAAATGCAGGAATCCACAGGGATAAGATTGGGCTGTACCCTGAATGCCTGGACATACTTGCATGTAAACAAGGCAGGCAGGCGGGAGAGCTGCTCAAAGAGCTTGCTGATTTCTTTAGCGGTTCTGACAGGGTTAGGATTGCAAAGCTGGGTCTTTTTCTTGCTAACATTCAGTATCAATTGATGCTGCTAACACACTTTATCGGTGTGCGAGGCTCTTACATTTCAGACACTTCGAAACCTTGGAAGTCCAATTGCACAGCTCTAGAGCATTACGGCCTCTCTGCTTAGGAGCACGAGACAAATGCTTTCGTTTGTCCAGGTCAGAGGGGTAGAGACAAACGTGTACATTAGTGCATATTTTGGGGGAATCAGTTAGTGGCAGCAGTTTCTTTTCATGTACATGTACATGTATATGATAGCCTGCCAACTTCCAGACCAGGTCCTCTGATCTACTTGACGGCTCCTGTCAGTGGTGCAGAAAAACTCTGCCCCTTCATTGACTGGAAAAGGAAGGGTGCTTGTTTTTCACACAGCAGACTGATGCGCCTGTTCCAGTTCTTGCGCGTGTCATGGTGCTCGAGGCCATCCTGCTGACTAATATGGCTCCATCGACAACAGAGGTCTAATTTCGCCCACTTCTGCTAGCTGAGCATTGCAGCTGGTTCCATTTGTTCATACACGCCAGAGTTGGGGCAGTGTTGTGCTGGAGAGAGGACGCGCAGCAGTTGTTAGAGCACTATTCTAGGACTTGGAATATTCAGATTCTGCCAGAGACGTCCTGTCTGACCACTGGCAAATCATTTAGGACCAGACTTATAAAAGGCCCCCTGGAGTTAGGGGTGATACTCTAAGCACCTGCCCTGTAGCTTCTCTGGGCCTCAGTTCCCAATCTATAAAGTAGAAATAATAGCACCATCCTACCTCAAAGGAAGGCAAATAATGAAAGGGTGTAAGGGCACTAATACCTGATGATGAGGGGAGCGGTACTGTTATATAAGGCAGCATGTGCAAAACGCCTGCATTGTAGATTTTTCTCTGGCAGTTGCTCTAAGGCCTTAGCCCTAGATGTGAAGCCCTGAATTCTGTTCTGTAGGTAGCTCCCTGAGCTGATCTTTAGCCAGTGAAAGGGAGACCATCCACTCCAGCTTTTGTGAATGGCATCAGCACAGCTAAGATGAGGGGGGATAATGCACATTTTTTTTATAAAATGGGAATACGCTTTTTCCAGCCACTTGTGGGATTCCTTTTGCATTTTTCTAGGTCAAAGCCCTTTGAAATGCAAGGATAAATCATTTGGATTTGCTCCTGTTCCTGTTCTCTACTGTGAGGGGAAAATCCAATCTTACCAAAGCTTATTAGTTACTTGGCAGTATTTTGTAGTCAGGCTGCGGTTGAATGTAGCTTAAATCATAGGAAAGAGGAATGCATGCGGGGGGGAGGGGGGGCATATATCGCAGAAGGCAGCTCTAGCTGTCTCAGCTGTGAGTCCCTGCTCTTTAAAGCATTTCAGATAGATAAGGGGATGCAGTCATGCTCCTGCAAAAAAGCTAAAGAAATCAAAAGCAGCCATATGCCCCAAAGGAATGAGTTCGGTGGTGGATCACCACTCTGGCATGGTCTCCCTACTCAGCTATACCCAGCTCCCATGAGGGAGGATGACTTTTCTAGCATACTCCCTCTGTGTCACCTCCTCTCCTGAGTGATAATGCTAGTATGATGAGATGCTGATTCCTGAGAGCACCTTTGGCATTATGTTGATCTGGTGGAACAGGGTCTGATCTCCGAGCCACGTGGAAAACATGTTTCCTACTAGCATTGTTTTGATCCTGTCTGTAAAAGAGCATCTCCTCTGCCTCTGGCTGATAGGGGTGGACACAAATGGACAGCAGTGGTACTCACTGCTGTCTGTCCTGTGGGTGCTCTGGGGACACATCTGCCCTGAAACATTGCTGGGTTTATTTTTGAGCATGGTCACAAGAATGAGTTTCTTCTCCATCCCCCATTCCCAAAAATAATATAAGGCCTGTGTAGTCATCAGTGTGGGTGTCCCAGACAGAAGGACAGAGTACTTCACAGCTCTAAGGAAGGTCCAGGGAGTGGGGGTAAGGGGGGGAGCAGGGTTCACTAGGGTTTTTAAGGCTGACCTTGTTTTGATGTGACAAATTGTCCTTTTCTAGTGTGATTTAGAGAAGGGATGAAAGAAGAGGGTGGTGGTGTGCCTGAGATGGGAGCACATGAAGCTGCAGTGGTATTGTGCTCTACCCCAGAGCTCAAGGAGATAATGCTCAGTCCTGCTTGCAAGCCCCTGCCTGTTCTACTCCCTCAGGCTTGGGGCAAATCTACCCCAGGTAGGGGAAGAGCATTTGGTGTAACCCAGTAAAGATCACCTGAGCTGAGGGACCTATACACAGGGGAGCATGTTCAAGCCTGGGGACTGCAGTCCGGCCTAGAAGTTGTCCTTTGGGCTCTGTACCATTTCCCCTGGCCATAGTATTTCTTTCTCTGGACAAGAGTTTAGTGAGGAAACAGGTCAGGAGAGGAGCAAGGTATGGACAGGAAACCTTACAATTGGGAGGAGGGGTGTATATGCATGGATGGGCAAATAAATGGACCGTAAAAATGTGTAACCTACTTTACACACACTGCTATTCCAGAGCAGCTCACCCAAAATACTCCATGTACCTGCACTCTTGCCTTGTTTCCATTTAACCTAACCTGATAACACCCCAATGCTACCACCCTTTTCAACTCCATCTACCCAAAAGGAACACACCTAACAACCTAACCTTGAAAAACAATCTAGAAAAGTCATTTTCAAACACAAAATACAAACCCCTACCCTATGCAGAGCTTTTACCTGTGTGTCCCCCCTCAAACTGCCAGAAATTCTTTGACATCCAACTAGGGATTTGCTGCTGCTTTTATTTTCACAGGACAGGTGCTCAGGTATTGTGGTGATGGGTGGCAAGACAAAACCCAACATGAGATTCTTGGGCATCTGTTCAAACCAGGCACAGAGGCACACAAATGTCTGTTCAGGGCTGGGGATTCTTCAATATTTCAAAGCCAGCCAGCTATCACAGGGGGAAAATAACATCCTCTTCATCAGGCCGTACAGCTCCCCAGCCTGGGTGGGAACATGTGCATGATAGGGCAGGAAGCGGAAGAACTGTGGGTGCTATGAGCTGGGACTGTGAGGTCTCTGCAGAGCAAGGGCATGGGAGGGCAGCCTGGGCCTGAGCAAGGTCAGGGGGGCTGGAGAAGCTGGCACCATCGTGGCCAGTGCTGTCTCTTAGCCCAACATTTTGAATCTTTAAGAGCTAGTGGATTGACTAATTTTCAGCCCAAACCACCCGGTCCCTGGCTCCATGGATCTCTCCAGAGATGGTCTTCTCCACTGCATGGATTGACTGCATTTACATTTCCAGACCTGCAGTCATGTGCCCACCCATGAAGCCCTTTGCACTGGCAGCCTAGGCAGCTTGACATCAGAGAGATGTATGTCCCTTGGTCCTGTTCTGTGTGTGGTTGGTGGCTTCTCCATCAGAAACAGCAGGGATATTTATATGTCAGGGCAGTGGTCACCTCAGTGCCCCATGGTTGCTATCATAAATGCGCTGTTGCTAGCACGGTCCTATTAACAAGGGCTATCTACGTAATCAGTGCAGCAGAGGATTGTGGGATCGCCCCAACAATGCTCTTCTTCTGATCTATTGTCTTTATTGCAGGTAATGGATGACTCAGGTCCCTTGTCCTAGGACTTTGCCAGCTGCTACCAGGGACCAGGTGTTCCTGGCTGATAATCACATCCAGGCAGGCAGAGGAGGATCAGAACATCCTGAAGCAACTGAATGATAATGCCCAAGAGCACTCGGTGATGCAGTTCGTAGGAGACCTAGAAAAAGCTTGGCCAGGCATCTATCAGCATGACACCTCTGACCATGAGGGAGCATTTTTCTCCTAGAGCCCTTGAGAGATGCCTGGGAGAGATGCCCAACTCCTTGAAATGCCCCTAGTCTGGAGAGTGAGCACAGCACTCACCCCTCTGTGTTTCATCTTTAGGTGCTCGTTACATGCCCATTATCATGGTGTTCCAGCTCCTCCCTGTCCACTGAGGTGAAGCCTAGCAGCAGGGGTCATCAGAGCAGTTCCAGCATGGGGTAGGGGCCGGCAAAGTCATCTGTGTTGCAGAGAGCATGTGAGGTGCAGGCACATGACATTTCTGTCCTCTAGAGCAGACAGAGCAATAACTCACCATGTCGGGGGCCACTCTGTTCCCCTGGCCATATGTTCACAACATGCTGTTTCACTGCTTCAGTGGCAGGGGCATAAAAACTGAAGCTGCTTCATTTAGCCTCTGGGGAGCCAGAGAACATGGGAGGAGTGGGTTTACTCCTCTTGTGGCCTACTTCTGTGAGTGTGGAGTAGCTGCACCTGCAACGCAATGCAAAGGCCCTGAATACACCCGCAAAAGGGCTTTTTGATGGGCTTCTACATACTCCTAAACAGCAGCGTGAGATCTGGTGCATGGTTTCAGACTGCCAATGCTGCTGCAGCGCTGGGCTGGGATGAAGGCCTGTTGGACACCGCACCAGATGGCATTCCTTCTTGAGGGGATATGCAGGAGATTAGAGGGAAGCCAAGCTCCTGCCTAGTGTGCCTGGATAATAAGATTCCAGGGCACTTTCGGAAAGATCTGGGCTTTCCCTCTGGTGTCCTTGGCCAGAATGCTTCCTGTACCTGCTACAGCACCATCCTCACGAGATGCGCTGTAATCTGCAGTGCTGCACTCGAATGGCTGCTGCAGCCGTCTCCAGAGCTGATTGCAACTTCCTGGTGCTATTCAGAAAAGGGAGATAGAAAAAAGTTTAGTACTGTTAATTTCCTCAGCACTGGAGGGTGACAGAATTCACCTTGGGGCACTCAACCATTGATCAGCCGCTCAGTGTCCAGCCAGTCATGAAGCACACAGGCACTGAGACCCAGCACAGAGACTGCTGTGCATTGTCAGGGAGTGAATGACAGCAGATGCCCTGACCTGGGGTGTGAATGACAGGTTGGAATCTCCCTCCCTTCCCCTTTCTGCATTTGTTTTTAAAGTCCTGTCAGTAAAAAGGTAGGCGCTGTGTTTTAGCATTTGCATTTAGCCTAAGAAGAAGCTCCTTTCTCTGTAGAAAATGCATGCCAAGGGTTTAGTGTGAATGAGAGGAGATCTATTCGTGTCCATGTTGGAGTCGTGTGGCAGAACCAAAGGAAGTGTGACAGTGACACCTGTGAGTGGCTGCATCTCCAGTGAGCTGCAGCTGTTGTGAAGTTTATGGCTGGAACTGCGACAGCATACGTTTAATTTATCTGCGCTCAGTTCTGGGTTACATGCATTGGGAAGAGTTGGCAGTCAACGGCAGCCTGAGCTGGGACTGGGACCGGATTGTGGCCCAGGTTGAACATGGGACCAGATTGCAGTCCCAGGGGAGAACTAGGGCTGGACTGCAGTGTTAGGTCAGGATTAGAGTTAGGGCTTTGCAGGGCCCTGTGATTCTGTCAGCTCCCATTAACCTTTGCAGGATACCATACAGCACATCCAGGTGTACACAACTCAGTGAAGGTTGATGAGAGAAGTGTCCAGAGGAGGAGGAACCCTTCCATGGCCATAGGCTGTCTTTGTGCTGCGAACCAGTGTTGTCTAATGATTACAACCAACAGGGAACTGCAATGCCAGGTGCCTTGGTTCAAGTCCTGCTTTTGCCATGGATTCTCTTTGTGACCTTGGGCAAGTCGCATCAGTGCTCCGTGCCTCAGTTTCCCTATCTGTAAAATGGAGACAGGGATGCTGTCACTTCTGCACAGTACCTTGAGCCCTTTGGTGGACAAGTGGTGGAGAAGTGCAGAGTATTATTACTAGGTTTTACTGTTCTTCCAGTGGGATGTTACTGGATGGTTGTGAATAAGGCCAAGCTTCCCCCTCTCAAACCCACTCCATGAAGCTGCATGATTCTGATGCGTGCTGCAAACTGCTTTGCAGCTTCAGGGCAAACCAGCCACTGATGAGAGCCCCAGGCTGGCTATTGTGGTAGGGAGAGGTTGGGTGTTTAGTGTTTCATGATTCTTATTTCATTACTAATGAGGGACTCTTGAGTGCAATTTTTCTGGAGTATCATTAGATGCTACATAACCATTTGGTCCCTGGGGAATAAGTGAACCAACGTGTTTCCCTGCTGTGTAGCACAAAGAGCAGGTTCAGAACAAATGTCATCGTGGGAGTGGCTTCTGGAGAGATTTTCCCCACGCACACATGCAACCCCCTACCCCATCACTTTGTACCTCAGTGCTTGGTGTCTCAGCTCGTAGAAACTCTTATGCTGGCACTGAACATTGTTTGTTGCTTTGTGTGTGCATAATAATTCTCCAGGCCCTTCCTGGAGGGTGTCTCTATACAAAGATATTGGCTTTATTCTCTGTTTCATGCTGGTGAAAAGTGCGTCAGCAGCAGCAGGGAGTGGAATCCTCTGTTTGTCTCCAGAGCTTGCGCTATGTGAAGGCCACATGTCCATGCCTTCCACCCCAGTACCTTGCCCCACCAATGTGTCCCAGTTCAACCAGTCAGAAGGGAACCTCTTGCTAACATCATGGTAGTTGTCACTGAATGGCTGTGACAGTGAGACTCCAAACAGATGTCACACTGGGATAAATCATGTTATCCTGGGACAAAGTGCAATCATTCAGAAATCCATGTCCATTGTCCAGGTTTAAATCCTAAAAAGGTTCACAGGACAAGAAATACTAACAGTTTGTCTCAGACCACCACACAGTGCATCTGAATGGTTATCCCAGGAGTATGTGGTTGAATCAATGGCAGAAAAGTAGCAATGCATTTAGCTGCTTGCTAAACTCTGATTAGAAAGGCAATATGTGCACGTGCCAATCTTGAGATATTTCTGTTTCAGGATAAAGACAGGCATGACTTGTCCTAGGACAAATGCAATGTCTGTTCCTAGCCTTACTGTATGCAAGTAAGATGAAGGAGCCAAGATGCATGTGGCTGGTAAAATAGCCAAGTTCTTAGTCTGCCTACCCTGTAATCCAAAGGTGTGATGGCAATTTATGCAGACATACCTAGGTGAGGATTAGACTAGCCAGTTTAGGCACTAATAACAGCATAGCCCACAGCAGTATGGGGTTAAGCACAGGTTGCAAAACCCGCCTAGTAAGTACTTGGGCAGCGAGCCTGAGCTGAGATCCATCCTGCTGTAGCTACACTGTTATCACTACCTGAGCTTAGCTGGTCTAAACCTCACTGGGGTATGTCTACACAACTCACAATCACACCTTTTTTTTGATTGCAGCATGCAAGCAGGGACAAGCTAGAGATAGACTCGAGGGTAGGAGAGTGGTGAGGAATGAGAAAAGATGACAGCATCCACTTAGGAAGAAAGCAGAAGAGGGAAGACTGTTCAGGGTCCTGCAGAAGCAGTGAGATGTGGGATGTCCTGCCACTAACTTCAGGCAGCTGACCAGGTTGGTAGTGGTGTCCATCACCCCTGTAGTAATGGGACTGCCTGTCTATCAGCAGCAGGTCCAGTCACATCACCAGCATGGCCTTTTCACTCTCCAGTCAAACCTATTTATTTTGCCAACTAACCCCAGGAGATCCAGGTCACACAATGCCCAAAAGTGAATATCAGGCTTTGGTTTTCTTGTCACATTGCCCAGCACTAGCAGCTGAGCAACCAGGATCTGTTGTCCTTCTCTTGCTGTGATTTGGACTACATAGCAGTAAACATGCTTGATTTCTACTTGTTTTTGTGCCGGTGCTGCTGGGGCAGGGAGTAGGGGTTGGTAGCACTGTGCAGACATGATGCCAGACCAGATGCCAGGTGGCAAAGAGGATGCATTTTTATGCCTCTCAAATTTATTTCTATGCTTTTTCTTCAGGCTACCAGCATCCACAAAGAATTTTAATTGTTGAGCAAGGCTCAGTCTAATGTAGAAATTGCCTCAGCCTGGACACACCACCTGTGCATGTGAGTTTTAGCAGCAGAAGCACTTGTGTTTACCTGCCTCCACCTGTTCTTAATTATCTGGTACACACCCATTGAGGGTTTGCTAATGATCATAGTACCAATGGGTTTGGCTTGAGGCCTTGAAGGGCCTGCCCAGGCACTTTCATGCCGGTAACCTGAGGTGATGCTTTACTGATGCTGGATGCCCTGGGTTTCCACTAACTGTAACAAGACATACAGGGAAGTCAGACAACACGCTGAAATGTGGCATCCCACAAGAGAGAAAAGACACCGTCAGTTTACTGCCAAAAGAGAGAATCAGTCATGAACTCAAGTGCCACTGGGATGCTGCCTGGGTGGCTAGAGGCTGGCAGATTGGATCACCTGTGCTATTTGGCTCTGATGCTTATGATTCACTTCCCACCAGGCACCAGGGTGTCTGGTGGAAGATGCACCATTCTGTGCCAGCCAGCCTTCATCTCCTGCTGGCTTCTCCCACAGCTGAGCTGGTTGTTTTATTTTCCTTAGGTAGGATCTCCCTGCCACCTCCACCCCCTGCTCCCCTCGTACTTCAATGAGCAGCTTGTCCATCCCTTTGAGGACTGCTGAGATTAGTGGCTTCTGGATGCAAACCCTTGATTGTCCAGAGTGGCTGTTCTAGAATGACATGCTGTATCTATCCATCCATAAAGGACGACATCTGTCTCCCACCTGGAGGAGGTAGAGAAGGGATGAATGTCAGTCCCCTTCCATTGCTACTGGGAACAGAGGTAGACAGTGCCACGCTGAGGAGTGGGAGTGAAAAAAATGGCTCCTCCCCCAGCTCTTTTGGGCTGAGCTGCCCCTGTCCCCCACAGCAAACTTTTCCTTTTGACCTCTGCTATATCCTTTGCTCTCCTCTGAGAATTTAGCATCAAAGCATCAACCAATTCTCCTATCAGCTGGCGATTGGGGAGCCAAAGGCAATGTTTCCTCAAGACTCTTTTCCCACATACCGGAACTGTCACTGCTCTTTGTTATCCAGAGCCTGGAACAAACTGTCTCCTCCAAGACTCCTTAACTGAGGGCTCTGTGGGTGCGTATGCATCCAGGCAAACTGCTAGGTTATTTGAGCCAGGGGTCCCCTTGCAACCTCAGAAGCAAGGGCATTGCTACTCTCCTGAGGTCATTTTCAAGCTCTGCAAGAATGCTCCTTGTTGCTGGACACCAGAGAGTTAGTTTCATCAGACATGTTATAACCTGTTAGTTAATGTGAGATACTGTGGGTGGTTGGGTTTCACCTGTCTGAATGTCAGACCAAAGCCAAAACAGTGGTTTAGGCAGCCTCCTAATTGCTCTAATTAGAACACTCTCATTTCTTAATAGCTGATACTTCTTCCATAGCAAAAAGTGTCTCGTAGCCCCATTTAGTTTTGCTCCTGGTGATTGGGGCATTCTGCCATGAGCCTGTGATAAATTTCCATCCCTTCCCAAGAGGAGTGCACCCCTTTTCTCCTGTTCCTTGCAGACACTTTCCTCTACAGTCTTCTCCCTGGCTAGTTCTGTTTCTTGCTCTTAATTCCAAGGACAGTTTGGTTATTCTTGTGCTTCCCCATTTCCTAGTGATGTTCTGGTTAGTGCCAGCCTGAGATATGTAGAAGAGAAAATAGTGGACTATACTATCAGGCACTGACTATCCCAGGCTTCTGAACTGGTGGGATATGGGACAGAGAGCACAGGCTCACCTTACTATTGCCTGGGGAGTTGTTGACTTTTCTGAATGAGCTTTATTTGGGATTGTCTCTGGATGTACTGCTTCGTAAATAGCAATATACCCAGGTATGTGGAGGTCTAAGGCAG